GGTGCATTTATTGGTATATTGAGTATCCCACCCTGCCAATGGTTATGAACGTTATCGGTAACCAATTATATAAATAGGCTCTTGAAAATAATATCCCTTAAAATGAACATTGTAGCTTATATAGCCATCCGTAGTATAATCGTCACCGTGCCAAAGAGAACTAGACATATTTATTACAATTTTGTAAGGATATTTTAGGGGGGTGGGGAAGGAGGGTTTAACTGACATGTGTAGGTAATATTTAGTTAGACTGAGTCACCTGACTTTGGACTATAGTAAAAGTAGAGATTCCAGTCAATAACTACAAATTGTGCGCTAGCCCGACTTGGAGACAAGGGTGCATTATTATATAGAATACCAGTGAACATGCAATTTTTATCATATGTGATCATTTGACACTTTTGTCGAACACGAAGGTTTTAAGTTGAATTATTTTGCAGATAAGATTAGAGGAAGAAGTTCGTTCGCAAGTAACCTGCTTATTTTTAAGGTGATAAAACATTTTTGTATAATAGATTTGGCACGCAGAGAAATAATATAAATGGCAAGTTATTTTGTGGTTAATCGCTTCTATTCCTGTTGACTTGGTGAACTAATTCCTTTATTTGAAGAAAAATGAATTTTTCTTGCTTCTGTATTTTATGTGTGACTAGTTTTGATAAATGTATTTCTTTTCTAATCTATTAACTACCTCGATAGTTAATAAATCAGTTCCATTACAGCTATACGAACAAACCAAGATATAATTTGGTGTATACTCGCTTACGTAACCTACGCTTACTTCCAGCTGCAATCTATATTCCGAGCTTAAATTTCGAAGCACCATTATGTCTAAAATTGATTGAGGCAATTACATGAAATTCTTGAATTAGTCGAATTACTTACTTATCGAGTACATATTGCTTGATAGTCATTTGTTGCTATATTTCGTTGCAAAATTAGCTACTAATTGATCTATACTTTTATTATAGTTTTATTCCAAGCGAAGGAAGTATCAAGAATCGGAGGTATCCATGGTGTAATGAAAGTCAAAATGGGGTTGTGTAGAATAAAGTCGTTCAAAACACAAAACATGCAAAACCTTCCTCGTACTAGTTTCATTAAACATGACGTAAAAGCGACTAGTTTCGACTTTATTAGACGTTGAAGAGGAAGAAACTATTCTTGGTTTAACCTCCCTCTCAAGAAGAGCATCATCTCATGAAATGTATATTCGAAGAAACCTGGAATTATAGGTATCTTTCGAGGTATCTTTGCTAACTTAATTACATGACAGCTTATGGACGATGAAATTAAATTTCATGCTTTTTTTCCCCGTTGACAAGATACCAATCCAATTTTGTTTCATCTGATCCAAAATGCGATATTACGTGGCCGATATTATTCAATCATCTACTCGCATGGTAGACGTTGCCTTTTACAATAAAGCCTTTAAAGTTTAGAGGATGCATCATGTACCTAAGCATTTGTGTCCTGCCGCTAGTTCTATTAAAAGTATTTCATCATCACGTGTGAACTTTTCAACCATTTTCTTTAAAGCACACACGACGATTTCTGCTTGACTGGTCTAGGTAGGAGTCTATCATGTCCAAGGTCGTCAGGTCCGTGCGCACTTTGTAATGGTGGAACGATCTTCAACGTTGGCTCCTTTTAATAACATCCAATCAATCGCTTGCATTGAACATGTCAAGAACAGGCACGTGCAGGATTTTCAGTCAGTATGTGTAGCTTTTTTTGAAATGTTAACATTAACTCTAAGTAAAAATAAATCGATCTCTTACGTGAAAATGTAAAAAGTGGAGTGGCGTGGTGCTAAAATTTCAAATGGAAATCTGTCTAAAACGGTGGGTTGGAAGGGGACATCATCAGACAGGGAAGGAAAGAAAGAATAGTCCAAAGACGGGGAGCACTCACAAAGCGAAATTGACAGGCCTTAACAAATACTATCTGTTGAATGGATTAAACTTCAAATGTGCATATCTGGAGAATGAAGTGCACGAAGAGCGTGATTATGAAAAAAACTCGCTGAATCAGATGTAGGCCAGTCATATTGGGTAAAAATTCCCCTCTACTTGGAAATAATTCTCTAAAAGGGAAACTTTGCATACGTGTAGTACTAGGAGCTAACATTCGTACATATTGTGCTACGGTTGCCATCTTGGAAAATGGCGGCCTTTTGGTCGTATTTCATTAACTGCTGGAAATACGAAAATTTGTTTTTAACAAAAGTCGAAAAAAATAAAAAATACATCTTTTCATTGCTTAAAGAGTTATGGAGAAATTTAAATTAATAATAACAAAACTTGAATTTTGTTGAAAGTGCTGCAGTTGAAAGTTTGACAGAAACTCATTGGTTTCTGCACTTCTGGGGAAAACACTTTCTAGCGGAGAATTTTTAGTTCCTCAGTCACACTAGTAGCACCAGGGTCATAAAGAACTGCCAGAATTGCACGTGAAAAAGAGTGGCCTGACATAATGTGGGGAAATGGGGGCGTTTTTAGCTTAGGTGCACTGATTTCCATACTTCCTCAATTCCGCTTCCTTTCATTACATATTCAATTGCCCAAAGGATTGAGAACAATACATGGAATGAGGAATCCACAAAGCTGAAACGAAAAACCAGTAAGTAAGTGTAATTTCCGTGTCCACCGCCAAAAATCAAAATTCAAGTTTTGTTATTATTAATAAAGTTTCGCTCGATAACCGTTAGAAACAAGACAAAAGTTGTGAGAACGGAAAAGATATATTTTTTATGTTCATTAACTTTTGTTTAAAAAAACAAAAAAGGTTTGTATTTCCAACGTTTAGTGAAATGCCTTGCTAAAATTTGGATAAAAAATTTGGTATCAGGTCTGTTTTCGACGTGACAATATCGATCCGAAGTTACTTTTTAAAATTGAAAAAAAATCAATTCGTGATTCTTGGTCCAGATGACAAAGAAAGTTAGAATATTATAAAATTTTATGGGCACACTCTTTGTATATTAAGTATAATAAAATAAAATAAAAGTAGGTACCTATTTTGAGAGGTATGGAGTTGTAGCTCTCAAGCGAAACGAAACACTTTGAACTCTTGGTTTGTTTGGAATGTTTTGATCCTCTCTACCACCTTAGTTTTTGAGATAGGTACTCTCTTTCATTTGTTTCAAAATCGAAATTTGCATTGTACTGGGTACTGAATTTTTTAAGCGTTTTCCGCTTTCTAGCTAGATCTTTAATCTATACTGATCTATGCCTACATTTCTAAAACGTTCACTGTGTGCAATTGCAAACGGTCATTAATCCACCCATAAAAATGTATTCAACTAGTTCAATTGAATAAAGTTACTCACAAACACCATTAAGGCGAAACTTAAAATCCAGAGCTGCATTTTCGGCTCTGATACAAAACTGTTCACTTAAACACAACACAAATTCGATAATTGGTGTAGTGAACAGTGGCAACAGTGCCAGTGATGCTGCTACAAATACCTAATACAATACTGACAACTGTCCCTTATCTTTCCTTCCAAGAAAATCGACAAATTAGAATGCGGCTATTTAAACAAAAGTTAGACATAGTCTAAACTACATAAATTAACACAACAATAGAAATTTGTTGTTAAAACAAGTCTTTGATAGTTGGTACAGAGTAATTTTTTAAATCACAAGTCTACGCATAAATTATTATCTATAGCTTATATGCCTCAAAGGAACTCAAAAACATATCACAATGAAAAATTTAATTATACCTGTAGGTACTTTATGCGTGTGTGGCATGGTAATATACACTTTCCACTTCAAACGCACCAATATATCCTTCGACGAATTTTTATATAAAAGATGTTTCATTTTCGCGTCAATATAATGTATTAAAAGAAAAATTCGTCTTCATACATGTTTAATATGGAATACGTCACGCAACCCAGTACCTCAAAAATCCATTTAATGAAAAATATTGTACGCTCCCTAGGTGCCTACTTTTGTTCCAAAAAAATTGACAAGAGTATATAAGCTTCTTTTTGAAAAGATGCTCCTAAATCTATAAAATATGTTGTTATCACGGCAAACCATTTCCATGTCGCTTACAGTTAAAAGCGCCAAGGAATTGTTACACTAGAAACTCAACAATATTTGCCTTAGATCACGGAAACTCGTTCTCCTTTTGGTGTCTTTCGTGTCACGAAATCGTTAACTTTAGACTAGAATATGCTTTCGAATCGTATTGAGATTGATTGTGTTAGTTGCCATGCAATTTTTATTTTATTTTTGCCCTTTATATTTTAAGTGGCACCCAACCCACAACCCCAAAGCAGGATTCGAACCAAGGACCCTCAGTACCGCAGTGGAGCTTCCACTCCACAGCGCCACACGGTCCGGGTATTAGGTATCTGCAATTTGATAAGTGGGGTTTTCATCCAACGTATTCCGTGAAATACATGCAAGTTTGGTTCTGTCGATGTAATTACATTTAGGTGTCTCAAAGCTAATGTAAGTACTATGCTAATGTAAGTACTCTATAGCCTTCCGTTGATGCGGAAGGGCAATATTATGTACTGTAAAAATAAATTGAACTTCATATACTTTGTAATGAGTTGCCAATGTCAAAGGGTCTATAATGTAGTATGTTGAGTAACCGTCACTACTTGTAGGCCAATCTAAATAGAATCCCTTATGGTAATAGACGGGTAGGATACCGATTACATTTAACGACTTCTCTTGGCCAATTTCTAAAAAAATGTTAATTGTTTTTTCGTAATAACAACACTCGCAGTACTTAGCAGCAAAAGTGGAGAAGCGACTGCAATGTTGACTTACTCCATACTCACGAGCAGAGCCACCGTTACTTTCATGTATGTCAAAACAACGAACGCTTCGCGGCACTTTCGAATCTGGGTAGCAGTCGGTGTTAAAAACTGGCGGTTCTTTTAGTACACAAATGGGGAAGGAAATTGAATAAAAACACATAATTTTGTGTGTAAGAAAATACGAGAATATATAATAATATATTACGCACACAACCGGGCGATATAAGGGAAACCTCCTTCGGGCCGAAACCCTTACATAGCCCACGAACTAAATTAACAAAAACAACAAAAGCAAGAGAAAATTCATAGAACATTATTCAAATTGTGTAATAATAAAATCAGATAACAAATTTCAAGATTCTAGGAACGTCATTTTTCCAAAAACTTCAACCTGCATTGTTCCAGGTGGGTGTTGAACGTCGCAAAGGCAATAAACTTTCGCCTAACTTGTTCGCCGATCTTCCTGTTTTCGTCCTAAATACAGCCTTTTTACCGAAGACGCGTTCTTCCGAATCTATCCATGAATTTTAAAACTCCGCACACGCCGTTCACCAGTCATTTTATTGACTTCAAATCTTAAGCTTGATTAGGTATCTTGAAGTCCATCAAGCTCGAAATGGTATAATTGCTTAGAGGATCGTTGGATCATTTCTTGAAGTTGATATCTGAATCATCTTTCAAATTAAATATCAATGGGGCTACATCTTCTGGGTCAAACTTCACTTCTATGTCCCACCAATCTAAAATAACTTGGTTGGTATGCTCTACAGTGCGTTTCCACATATCAGATGTAACTGCATGAATGGCATGTTGCTTGCCGATTATAATGTTGTTTGCAAATTCCCCATATTTTCGATGGGATTGAAAATGCAATGGAAGGGAGGCAACCGTAGTACTGCATGTCCATTTTCTAATGCCATCTCATCGGTAGCATAGAGTTTTGTTGTTCCGGAAATAACAATTTTTGTAGTCTCGAAACTAAAAGTATTATTACGAATAAATCACGCTTCATGGAATTTAAGGAAACAAACGTTGCAACAATCTCCACCAATTCTATTTTTAATGCATCATTTGGAAACAACATATTTGTGCTGTAGCCATGCCTGTAGTTGTGCTTTAGTCTAGGAAGAATTGGCAAGTTTTCAGTCAGCTACTGTGATAACTCGCATGGTCCATGATAATCAGCGATGGTTCTTTTAAATTAGGTAGCAAATGGTCCCCGAACCACTTAAGAAAACTTTGCTTGTTCATTTCCCCATGGTAATCTGGATCATTTGTTTTTGAAGTAAAAATTAAAGATGCTCCATCAGTAATTGCATGTTTCCACCATGTCAAATCACATGTCTTAAATAGTTATGATATTGTACTCAGCAATACCAGTACGTTACCTGCGTCCCTCTGATTCAACTTCTCTTACGCTTTTTGCATTGTCGTCTTGTCATGACTTACATATTGTTCCATTTTCAAGAAAATACCCACGTTTCATCCAAAAAAACACATTGGCCTCTATTCTCAGATTGCATATTTTTTACACTTGATAGTGCAATATTGGGGAACTCCATTAAAGCTTTTCTTGAAATACCATTATAATAGCGGAAACCAATATTTGCAACAACTTTTCTAACCCTATTTTTGGACCCATTTAGTACGTATTTCTCTTTTTTGCAAAATGGATTGAAGCGTAAGATGTTGTTCTAAAATACAAACGTAAACTGCTTCTATCTACACAAATATTAATTTGATATTGGCAATATAATCTTTGCAGAGTGACACATAAGCACCTATCCACATTCAACCATTCAACGTGTGTTTTAACTTACTATGTTAAATCATGTCGTAAATGAAGTTCCGAATCGCTGCTTGTGTGAAACCAACAACATCGCTAACGGGTTTCTTCCAATGCCTTGTTTTTAGGACTTGTTTGTCCGATTTAGAACGAACTGTTATACTATTAAAGTAACCACTCACCTTTATTAGTGCTGCGACTGGTAAAAGTGGACCACCTGTGGCTCTTTCTCGTGCAAAATAACAAACAAGATTATAAATAAGTTACTTATTTTTTCTTTGTAAACCCGATGGCATTTTGGGGTTATAACATTTGGAGCAGAATATCGCAATGAGACTGACGGGAGTTATGCTTATATAATTGTTCGTTATGTAACTATCGGATTTTTTATCGGCTAATGTAGCAAAACGCGATAACACGGTAGCAAACATTTATCAAATTTGGCGTGTCGCAATGTAACGTAAACTAACACAATTTTTATTGACAGGTAACCTGAAAATAAAAAAAAACTGTTCAGTAGGGGTTTTTGTTTTATTTTTAAATAACGCACAACTCTGCCTGATTGTGAAATGCGTTTATCAGTCTAACACAAACATACAATTCCAACGAATATTCTTGTTTAAACTGATTTTTTTAACAATTTGTTAATACGTTAATACAATATTCCCCAAAAACTTGTAGGTACTCGAAATGACGTATCGCACCATTCATACTTAGTCTCAAAATGTTACACGTAAATCACGGCTTAATAAAAAATTATAGTTTCATAAAATACGGTACCATTTTAAGAAGCTATTCATATTTAACAAAACACATTTCCCCGGATAGAAGTAAACCTGGAATGGATTTGTGTATTCCTCGAAAAACGTAATCGAGCGTGACATTCTCTTGGGTTGCGCTTCCACTTTATAACTTGAGCAAACAAAATAACTCATGCGGCTGACTACTACGTGTTCTTATTTTTATCAAGGCGAACGTTTTCAAGGCCCAAACTGCAATTCTAGTACGATTTGGATTGGATCGGAAAACTAGCATGCTGCATGATATGACACAGACGTGCAATTTATACGTAGATTTTATTCCCGACTGAGTTCGCATACAGTTTACGATTGAAAAATTGCATTTCCTTGATTAAGGAAGATTAATCCAAACGAGTAAGCTATCTAACGAGATGAAATATCGGATTCATAAGTCTTGCATTCTGCAACATGCGCGATCGATGGATACAAATGAATCTGGAACGCCTTTTGAATATTGAATTTGCGAAACAGATTGAAGCCGAGTCGAAAAAAACGTAGGGAATGATCTAAAAAATTCAGAATTCCATATTTCAATATTCCTTGATGAGAAATCAAAACTGGCTTAATATTTGGAACGATTAAATTTATGTTTTTCTTTGTTTTCTGGCAACTTTAGTACATTCGTTTCTTATTCAATTATTTATCATTTACTTACTAACGCCCATTCATTGCATTCGAAGTTTAGGTGAATCTTATGGTGATCTGAAATGTAGGTATTAAATGTTTATATCCAATCAAATTGAATTTACTTGATTGTAAAGAAATTTGTTTTTTAATTATCTATTCCTCCTCGCCATTTACTAACTTGCAATTCTCTTTCAGCGAATAATTAAGGAAATAAAAACTGTTCCGTTAACTAAAAAAATAGACCTCTCCTATTAATCTGAGCTCGCCGGAAGGCCAAAATTTAATAATCACACCCCGAATTATCAATCCAACTACCGTTGCAAATGTTAAAACGGCGTTCTATATTTTAGTAGTGTTAATTCAATTTTTTTATGAATCTTCGGCTATTTTGATCAATAGAAAATGCATCTTACATTTTCTATTGTTGAATGTTTACATTCTCCCATCATATCAGTAACAAATTTTGGCTCTAATTTGTTTCAATTCGCCACATTTTGTGAATTTCATTTTATTTTTAGTACATACCTTTCCGCAGGCGCGACAAGCTTGTTTTGTACCGCAATGCAATTTTCAATTTTAATTGTCACAGTGTGAAATTCACCCCTTTGTTACGTAACTAAAAGTCCAAGATATAATATTATAGCTAGAGACATAATTCATTGTGTATTTTAAAATTAACAGAAATTGTTAGTGTCAGAATAAGAAAAATACCAGCTTACATTTAGGATGCCTGCGTAAACATTAATATGGATTTTGAAGTTTGCTGCTTTGCACTTAAAACATTCCGAACCTGACCCCACCAAAGAAATCAGATAACAGCGAATGCGGCATAAACAACAATTTTCCTGTATAACCCTAGGCAATCACGCCGTATTCTTAAGACGCTTTAAGCTTTTAACAAGATCACTTACCCAATATTCCTACGTACAAAATCTGATACATTTGGTACCTTACAAGTGCTTAATAAAATAATATTGCCACATACTCCTCGAACATCAAAATTAAAAGAGCACGTCTGTCTGGAGCTATCGCTGGGCGTTGTAGTTGAAGACTACCACAAAGAAGAGACCTCTGTAACTGCTTCTAAACCGTTTGTGGATGGGAACAGCGCAACGGAAACCTCCAAAAGGCGTATGAAGTGGAACGAAGAGATAGATGGCGAAGGAGTTAAATGTTAAGCATAAACAAATAAGTCCTTCACGAATGAGTAAAAAGATTTTGAACATTGTTAATCGGTAAAGGAATGTTTGACTTAGATATTAAAGGATTTATACGCAAATCGATAACAAAATCCGTCAATCACGAGCGTACGAAGTCGCGAGTGAAAATCTAGTAGTACTAAATTCTTCGGAAAATGGTGTTGCATATTTGCTTTGGTCCAATACATACCTATCTGACTGGGTTCGTATTATTGATAATCTCTCACGATTATAAGAAGGTATATTTTGATTTTGCATACGGCTAATAAGGACTAAGTAATCAAAGACGAAAGTGTTTCCTTGTTCGGGATTTACCTTAGGTATTTCAGTAATACAATAGAGATTTGCTTTTGAAAGTGGTATTTGAAGTATGCGAGTGATTAATCAATATCTGAAAATAACCTGAAATTGCTCTTAGAATAGAGAGAAGCTTATTCCTTAAATCTTACTTAGTGTAATTCTTAATCATTAAAGTTGGAATCTGGAGGAAAGAAAGGATTTTGTGCATCGTAAACAATAAACAAGAACATTCTTCCATTATCACTATCTGAGTCTTTAAAAAATTGTACTAATATTGCTAATAGTGTATAGTTAATTAAATTACTCAAATCTGCTTTGTGCAAAGTCTTTAAAAAACGAGCATACCGAATTCATATTGCCAAAATTTCAACAGTTTCGACCATAGACCTAATGACTTATGAGTGAATTTAAACATAAAAGGTGTCCTATTCTCGCCGATTAATTAACTTCTAAACGTAAATTGGGCCTTCTAAGACTTAGTTAACAAGATTACCTTATTCTCACTCAGAGCTGGGCATACTTTCAAAAAGTATTTGAATACTAAATAGTAAATACTTTACACAAATCAAAGGTATTTGAATACTAAATACCTTTACGTCCATCACAAGCGAATACTAGATAGATACATTGAAAAGTATTCAAATACTTTAAAAAATAAGTATTCAAATACTTTAGAAGGTATTCTAATACTATTCGAATACTATAAAAAGTATTTGAATACTTTCAAAAGTATTCAAATACTTGTCACTCAAATACATTAAATACTAGATAAAAGTCTTAATACTACTTAAAAAATCAAGTTATACTTTGTATGGGGTTAGCTTCTTTCATATTTCTATTGTCATATACAAATTTGAGGGGAGTAAAAGCGTAATATTCTTATTATATAGGAGGTCCTGGTAGGTATCTTTCTTACACCAGTTATATCCTTAAGAATACGTGTACCAGTTTTCAAAGCGTCGTGCACATGATACGTACCCCTTTCTGAAATTAATCCTAGCGATGATAGTTTGTTTAGAAACCTGCGATCGCTTTGAAAATTGGTACACATGGTCTTAAGGATATAAGAAAGGTCCCTATTCTTTTTAAGTTACGTAGACTATCGAGTCAAAAAGTTTCACTCCAGGATCGTTCGGTATTCAGTTGTATCGGATTTTTATATTTGATTTTGTGACAATGGAAACTTTCCCTTAACATTTCTAAGTAGTTCTCAAATATTTGAATAACTTAAAAGTGCTGCCTTTTTTTGAGGCCCGAAAAAAAATTGTCTCAGATCGACGCGAAAAAAAAAATTTCTTATAGAATGTGGCCTGTAGAATCCATAATTTCAAACAGTTCCGAGATTGGGCTACTAGTTCAAAAGTTACAGCCCTTTGAATTTTCTTTCGAAATTTTTTTCTAGTCTATAACTTTTGATTGAGAAGTCTGATCGAAAAAGTACGAATTGTTTTGGATTCTACGCACCAAAATTAATAAGAAAAAGTGTTTTCTCGAGAAATTTTGGTGTGTCGATTTTTGGTAAAAAAGGAAGGTTATACACTGCTCTTTTTTGAGGCCCGAAAAAAAAATTGTCTCAGATGACCCGGAAAAAAAGTTTTCTTATAGAATGTGGCCTCTAGAATCCATAATTTCAAACAGTTCCAAGATTGGGCTACTAGTTCAAAAGTTTGAATTTTCTGAGTCCCGAGAAATTTTGGAGTAGTCGATTTTTGGTAAAAAGAGAAGGTTAAGTATTCAAATACTATGCGAAGTATTCGAATACTTTACGAAGTATCCAAATACTTTGTGAAGTATTCGAATACTAAATATTTGTGAAAGTATTTGTGTTACAAATACAAATACTGCTTCCATAAAAGTATTTAATTACAAAGTATTTGAATACTTTAAAAGATTTGAATACTAAAAAGTATTTACAAAATCGACTACTGCCCAGCTCTGTTCTCACTAATGTAAATTTTCCCGTGTAACGGGGCAGTGAAGCATGACAAACAAACGCACTTGTCACTAGTAGCAACAATCAACGATCGTTATATACGGATGGATAAGAGTACTTATTGAGGGTTGTGGCTGTGCATAATATAACGGTTTCACAAAAAAATTGCAATAATAAAGCTTTAGGACAATTAAGCATCTGTTGTTACTGCTAAAAATTTCCCAATCTTAACGCTACTCCCGAGCCTCATAAGGTTATTTCAATAATGTCTGAAGATAGGAATTGGCAGACTTCGACATATCATTCTAGCATGCACAAAATACGAAAATCAGGGCGTGATGCTCCTCAAACATTAAACGAAGAACGTGTGCCGTTAACCACCAAGGTTAGCAGCTAACTGTACAGTTGTACACGTACACCAACAACCTAACCGCTTTTGAAGGCCTAATATTTTTAATATTTT